GAAGAAAATAGTAGACCAAACGACCAGAAGCATTTAGTACTTTGTACCCCGTTATACTGGCATGAAAAAGAAAATAATAATAAATCCATCTTTTTGTTTGGTCCTCGCCCATGTGACCGGGTGCACTTTCCCTGAGTGCAAAGTGTCAGGGGCGCGACTTCGTAGTTTCTGGATGAAGTCCGCCCGTGTGACCACAGGGGGACCAAATGCCTAAGAAAACCCCAACCAAATGCCTCAAATTTTTGAGACTTCTGGTCCCCGTGTGAGTATGCCCTGAATGTGCTTGCTTCGGGTTTTTTTGCGGTCAGAAGTTTTCATAATAAACTCTGAAATAAATCAGGGACAAACATTGAGTGCTTATCTTTCGGGGGAAAGTATTAGTGTGGGGGGGGGGGAAGCAAGCCAAAAAATTATGGGGGCAAAGCCTTCCATCTTTTTCCCTCCGCGCTGCTGGGAGCAGTCCCACTTGAATTCAAGAATGTGTGCTCAATTGTGAGTGAAGAGCTAGTACATGAGTGGGGGTTCCAGGTTGGAGGGCTATCCACCATTGATTGGAGTCATTGCTGTCTTATTGCCTTAGGCTCTGGGCCCCTTTCCAATAAATTATGGCCTGAACTAAATCATCTTTATTTTTCTGAATCATTGTACAAGGGACGCTGGGCCCGTTTCCCAGCAGGTGTTGCTCCCCACCAATAGATGGAGCTATTCTTCAAAAAAAAAAAAAAAAAAAAAAAAATCACAGGGGACAGTTCGGCTTGTTCAGCTTCAGGGGCACTGCTGGTTTAGCCGCTGCAGTGTCTGCCCAAATCTTGGACCAGGGATATCCCAGTGGCAGTTTCATTCCATTAGGCATGGCGTCCACAACATCCCCTATCGCGAACCCCCATATGCGGCACCAACAACTTTGTATAGTGGCTAATATTCTAAATTGGCATGGTTATTCTATTTAACATCACCTTTTCTTCTGACTGTGGCTTTGACCCACTGAAAGCAAAATCGACAGTCAAATCTAAAATGCCGCCGACCTTATTCGCTATCGTGTGCTCCCATGTTTTTTTTTTTTTTTTTGAGAAGAAACCCTCCCCGCCAGTGTTAGTGCTGCTGATAGGAGCAGACACCACTAACACCTAGGGAGAGGCTCCATCTATTGGTGGGGAGCATTACCTGCTGGAAAACGGGTCCAGCGTCCCAACAAAAGGGTCTGAGAATGTATGAGAGATGTATGAGAAGGTATGAGGAGGTATGAGAAAGCCTGAGAGAGTCTGAGCATGAAAGATGGGGTCTGCCAGCATTGATTGCCCTTCAAGGAGAAGGGGATTGACTGAGCAGGCCAGTAAGGAGTTCGGTAGTGCAGTCCTATATGGTGCATAGAGTATTCGTGTGCTCCCATCTAACTTGTATCACCCCTGAATGTTGCCCATGGGCTCATCGGAAAATCAACGGAGGTCACACGTCACTTACGAACATGTTTTGGCTGGTTGCCAGGCAGGCCGCACGGGTCCTGTGCTACCAGGTCTTATACTTCAGCTGAAGGGAAAGGGTGGATGAAGGTAGTTAGGTATGTAGAGCTAGAAGGTGTGAAAGTCCAAATGGGCACACACAAAGAATAGTGCACAATGGTAACATCAGACAGTACAATGACTGTCAAGTACAAACGTGTAAATCTCGGTACAAGGGTTGGCCACAAACATCAGTATACCAGAGAAAGATGCAATGATTGCCCCGGTGTGTGTAGGCTACCCCGCCCGGTTTCGACTGCTGCCAAGGCGGTCCTCCTTAGGGGGCTTATTCTCCTACTCCTTTTCCCTCAACAATGTCATCATCCTCCACTCCTGCCGCAGTGCTGCCATCACTACTGCCTCCGTCCATCTCCAGAAAGGGCGGAGTGTGTTGAAGTCGGACCCAAAAGGTAGAGTGGAGGTGGGATATGGGGAAGGATAGTGTAGGGGTCTAAGGAAGGAGAAGTGGGATAGGTATCTGGGTCGACAATCCTCAGATAATAACCAGAGTGAGTAAGGAACGAAATGACAGACACAACCAGCCTTACAGGAACAAGTTGCAGTCCGTGGTGGCTCAACTTTCAAGGCACCGGTCAAAAGTTTGAAAATAGGACAAGAGACTGGATGTCCAGGGATATAAGGTCCGCAAAAAACACTGAATGGGCTACGGCACCTAGGAACTAAAGAGCCCAAAAAGTGCAACTGGTCTAGCTTGAACTCAAGTGCATTTGTAGTGTTCGCCATTCAGAGTACACGTCTCCCCAAACATTCATTATGTCATGATTGAAAGACAAGAGGAACACGCATGCCACGGGATGCTTTTGCAATGTGCTTGAATGTGGCCCAGCTTGTGTCCATGATCAGACAGTATCGGGCCACTGGCCGATGGGATGTGCTAGACTTCCTCCTGCCATCTCAGACAGTACCGGGCCACTGGCCGATGGGATGTGCTAGACTTCCTCCTGCCATCTCTCTCTCTCTCTCTCTCTCTCTCTCTCTCTCTCTCTCTCTCTCTCTCTCTCTCTCTCTCTCTCTGTGTGTGTCTGTGTGTGTGTGTGTGTGCGCGCGCGCAAGGGCGGTCAGTAAACTTGCGCTCCCTCTGCCGCGTGCATGCTTGCTCCTGGCGTGCAGGAGCAGGGGCCGGGTGATGGTCAACGGTGAAGCTTAGTAGTGAGGGGGAGAGCAGCTGTGGGGTGGGTGGAGGGAGGCAGGCCCTGCGGGGAACGCTCTCTCTCTCTCTCTCTCTCTCTCTCTCTCTCTCTCTCTCTC